CCTCCCCTCCTCCCTCTCCTCCCCCTCCCTCCCTCCTGCTGGAAGCAGGCAGGTCCAGTGGGGCTGCGCCGCTGAGACCACAGCCCGGCGCTCCCGGCTCCACGGGAGAAGCAGCCGAGCCAGGTCCCGTGGACAGAGCGGCCCGCGCCGTGCAAGGGGCATGGAGCTGGGCGCACGCGGGCCATGGAGCTGGGGCAAGGCCGAGCCGGGAGACTCCCGCGACTAGAGCCTGCTCGCTGCACCATGGAGCTCGGGCGCCCGGGGATGAAGCCGCTGCTGCAGCTGCTGCTGCTTCTGGGGGCCAGCCTCCTGCCCGGTGAGTTTCAGGGAGCTGGACGAGCCCCCTTTTGCCCCTTTCAGGGCTGCCCAGGACCTCCGGCACCAGAGGAAGGGAGGCTGCGGTCCCAAACCATGGGTGCGCACAACCGGCAGCCACAGAGGCTCCCTCACCCCCAAGATCCATAGGCTGTCTGCAGTTCCAGCTGATTAGGGCAAGGAAGGGGTTAACCCGCCCAAATGTGGGGACAGGGATTTGGGTGGTGCGAGGGGCTGTTGTTTCAGCAACTGGACTCAGAAGCTCCAACTTGGGTGGAGAGAAGCAGGCCCATATCACCCACTCGGGCCCCATCCGGCCAAAGTAACCTGGAGACCCCACGTCCATCCCTGCCCCTGGTTTTGGGGGAATCACAGAGGTAGCCTCTGCTGGGGGAGTTCTAGCCCCCTCCACCTCCCTTCCCCTTGGCAGCCACCTTGCTATTCAGGAGGAGTGAGGGAATTGAACCCCAGGCCTCCCCATTGAGGAGTGGCTACACCTTCTTAGCCAAAGGGACCAAGAGACAAGGTCTGGGCTGTGGGCTGGGAGTGCAGAGTCTGGGTCCAGGACCCACCCCAGGGGTGCATGAGTCCTCCTCACATCCTATGACTCACAGGTGAGCAGTGCAAGCTAAGAGGTGCAGGGGCAGGGGTCTCCCCTTCCCAAAGCCCTCTGGATTCAGGTGCCAGGGAGGCCGGGAGGCCGGGAGGCCATGGGGCTGGGCCGAATGAGAAAGATCCCTCCCCAGGCCCTCCCCAGTGTGGCACTCAGTCCAGTCTGTGTGTCTATCCAAGAACACAGGTGCTGTGCTTGTTGTCAGGGTCAGCACTTAAAATGCCCCTAAGCATCAGGGAACAGTAACTCGTTCTGGGCTATACTTGGGGTTGCTGGCAGCCACTGAAATCAAGCTCTGAGTGGCTTGCTTTCTGGGTCCCTCACTACTCTTCCATCTCCTGCCTGGGCCTGCCCCCCAACCCTGCTGCCTTCTGCCCTCGTCCTGCAGTTACTCCCATTTTGTGCTTTGAGGCAGGGTTCTCAGGACTCTGCTCGTGGCTGGAGATGCAGCCTCTGACAGGCACATCCAAATCAATGCTTATGGGGACAACTGTCCACTTCTGTGGTGAGGTGCCCGTGCTAGGAAGGCCCGAGGGGGCTGAGAAGGCTTCCTTAAGGAAGTAGAGGGTAGGGCAGCTCATGCAAAGGTCCTGAGGTGAGAGGCACATGCCGGAAGAGATGGAAGGAAGCAAGGTGGCTGAGCATGGCCTGGCATGAGGCTGGAGGGGCAACCTGGAGGGCCACTGTACCCTGCTCCTGACTCCCACGACTGCCTGTCCCCAGTGAGCGGCCACATGGAGGCTCGGGTCCATGCAGAGGAGCGCCTGCTGAAGAAACTCTTCTCTGGCTACAACAAGTGGTCCCGGCCAGTGGCCAACATCTCGGACGTGGTCCTTGTCCACTTTGGCCTGTCCATTGCACAGCTCATTGATGTGGTAGGTGCCAGGGTGGGGAGCTCTGGGCTTTGGCTGTCACACATGGTCCTAGAGGTGGCCCCAGGGCTGAGGAGCCTGCATGTCCTGTGAGAACCTCTGTCCAGGCCCCCGCCTTGCCTATCAAGTACACCTTTGTGGTGGGGTCCGGAGGGGAGGCAGGTTCTGTGCACACTTGTCCCAAGCCCCTGCTTTTCTCTCCCCCACATGGAAAAACCAAAGTGGCAGGTTGTCAGAGTGGGTCAGGGCTGTCCTCCTCAGAAGCAAAGAACAGAAAGTGGCCCTGCGGGTGAGTCAAGTGTCAGGTTGGGCTGTGAGCGGCCCCTGACCTCAGCTGGTCCAGGAGGCCCCCGTTACCTACTGGAATGTGGGGTTTGGAGGAGTCTTGGATAGGTCTGGGGTGTGTTTACCTTCCTGGTTAATGACCAAGGGGGCTGCTGGGGAGATGCCGGGGGCCCACCCTTTGAATGGCCGCTGCTTTAGAGGGGCTGGGGCACCCATTTGGGGTGGGAACCCATCCTTCGGGTGTGATCTGACTGGGTCGTGGGCACACAGCCTGGGGTGGGGTCCCAAGGTCTTTGGAGTGTGGCTCCAGCCTGGCAGGGAGGGGCCTCTGGGAACCTAGTTTGTCCAGCTGCAAGGGCTACAGATATCCCCAAGTGCATCCCCTGCCAGGACCCCAACCTCAAGTCAACTCAGTGAGGGGTATGGGGGCCCTGGTGCCAGGCTGGTACCATCATGTGACACTGTTGCTGCCCACCAGTCTTCTCACCTGTGAAATAAGATAAGCACAGCATTGCCATCTTGGGCAATATCTGAAGGGCTTTGGATGTGGGAGGGCTGTGGCCACCTTCAGAAGGACAGAAAGGGCCAGCATGGGCCCCATTAGCAGGGAAACCCAGTCAGTATGCCTTGTCCTCAGCTGTGTCCAGGCTTCTACCCTCAGCATCACTCATGGTTCTTGCAAAGTCTTCCTGGCCTGGGCACAGCTAGAGGCAACTTGAGATGGTCCAGGGTTCCTAAGCCTGCTGAGGTTTGCAAACAGAGTTCAAAGTGGTGGCTGGTGGAGGTGGCCACTGGCTGCCACTCAAGGTTCCGGCTGCACCACAGCCTGGCCGCTATGAGATCCCCACACTGCCCGTCTCCCCAGTTTGCCCAGGGGAGTCCAAGGCCAGGAGGGAGCACCCCAGCTCCAAGACCCATGGCAGCACCAGGCAGGGTGGGACCAGCTCCCAGGCTCTACTGTGGCTCTGGGGCCAACCAAGGGCACACCTGCACCTGCCTGGGTGCTGATGAGGCCCAGGGCTGTGTTGTGGGTGAAAGGGGCCGTCCCAAGTCTGGGCTACTCTGCCAGTCTCCTTGCAGGGCTCATGTGTTTGCTACAGGTCTGTGTAGGCTGGAGTGCTTGCGTGTGCAAGTTCATGCCTGCAGAGGAGCCCAAGGCATCCCTGGTGCTTTCCAGGCCCTGGGCTGGTGTGTGAATTTGGCTGGGTAGGCAGCTGGGGAAGGAGGTCAGGCCCTGTCACCTTGAAGCTCCTTGAACCTGGGGGTTGGGGGATGGGGCACAGCAGGGACAGGCTGTCCACCCAGAGGGAAAGGCAGGACTGACAGCCTGGCTTTGCTTAGGTCACGCATACTCCTCAGCATCTTTTTGAGCGAGGGTCCCACTTGGTCAGCTAAGTGGCCTGTCACAAGGTGGACCTGTGGGAAAGCAGGACCAAGGGCGATGCCTGGGGGTTCAGGGCACATGGTGTCTTCTCCCCAAACTGGCCAACTGGGGGCTTGTGTCTTGGGGGAGCAAGAAGGAGAAGTGCCGAGGCCTGTGCCTTTGGGACACAAGGCCCCACCCTGGCCAGAGTCTGGGTAGCCAGTGGGGTCCCGAGCATACCAAGGTGGATTCAGTGGTAGCAGGAGGGCACAGGTACCTGCTCACCTGGGGCCCATGTGCAGAGGTGCTGCCCAGCTGAGACAGAGCAATGCAGGCTGTGTGGGAGGGAGGCAGCTCCTCCAGCAGCTGGGGAGCCCTGGCGCGCCTCCATTTCCCACACACCTATCCACTGTTGGGGGAGGCCAGGCCCCAGCCACCTAGGCAGTTGGCCAAATCTTGTCCTGACTTTCCTTCTGGAAGGTTCTTCAGGAGGGCCTTGTCCCCATGTCCCTAAGTCCCTTTTGGGCCTACCAGCCTGGACTTGGTTACTTCCAGAGACGAGGTGCTCATTCCCTCCCCATGTTTGGCCCTGGCCTGTCCTTGTGGGTAAGTACATTCAGGGCCAGAGAGAAATGGGCCCCATCACTGAGGGGACCATGACTTCTTTTCTTGTTTGTGTCCTAGGATGAGAAGAATCAGATGATGACAACGAATGTGTGGGTGAAGCAGGTAAGTGGGAGGGGAGCCTTAGCCACTGCCCCCACCCCTCATCCCTGCTCCTCTCCCCACCCCTCGTCCCTGCCCCACCCATCACTGCCCCTTACCTCTCTCAGTGTGGCTTTCTCTTCCGACCCCGCCCAGGAGTGGCATGACTATAAGCTGCGCTGGGACCCCAGAGACTACGAGAACTTAACTTCCATCAGAATCCCCTCCGAGCTCATCTGGCGGCCGGACATTGTCCTCTACAACAAGTGAGCCTGAGGGTTGGGGCCTTAGCCGGCAGGGATGGCAGGTGCCTGCATCCAGCTGAGCCCCAGCCAGAGGGGCCTAGGTAAGGCGTGGACACCTGGGGCTCCATGGCCCCAGACCAGCCTCAGGGACCTAGGGTGGCCACCTCCTAGCTTGGCCTTGGTCTCTCTCCCTGGGGGACAGGGGAAGGGGGCTGGGACCCCTACATGACTACAGGCCCCAGAGCTTTTCTTCAGGCTGGAGTCATTTTCGGAACCTATCCCCTGCCACATGCGCTCATTTCCGTTGCAGAAGTCTAGTAGTGCAGGGTTCTCACGAGGCCAGTGGAAGCCCCAGACTGCTGGCCCTGGTCCAGCTACCAGCCCCGCCCCCCTGCCTTTCATCTCTACTCTCAGGCCCTGCCCTGCCAGCCATCACCGCAGTCCCCAGACCCCTCCTCACACTCCTGAGCAAACAAGGCTGTGTCCGGCTCCAGAAGCTGAGCTGAAATCTGACCAGCAGATGATCTTCTGTTTTGGAGGCCACAGTTTTCTAGGCACAGCCATAGCAGAGACTCGGCTCAAACTTGTCCTTTCCTGGGACCCTGGCCGGGATCCCTGAGCCCAGGGCAGCCTGATGTCCTCCCATGTCCTCGTGTCCCTGCTGTGTCATCTCTGAATCCGTGCCTGGGGCTGCAAGGGCTCACGCTATGTTTACAAAGACAAGCACTTCACCCCTCTGTCCGCCATCTATATGCATCGCCTGCCTCCCCACCGCCAGACCCCTGTGCACAGCCCCTTCCAGGGCCCCGGGTGCTGGGCCTGACCTACAAAACGTTGCTATTTGATTAAGAACGGCTGGGCTCCCTTTCCAACTTAATTGATTCCAGTAATGGCAGCGGGAAAAGCGGCCGCACGTGAGGGAGCCAGAAATGGTTTGGGGATGCATTAAGTTGGGTCGACTAGGGGAGCGGGGAAGGCAGGCACTCTGTGCTCCACAAGCCGCTGGTCTGAACCACAAGCCTTGAGTCCTCCAGCCACCCAGCCTTCCTGGGGTCCACGCTCAGCTTCAAGACCCCCCCCAGAGAATATGCATCAGCGTCAGCACTCTGGGACCCAGGGAAGTGTCACATTACTGGGAGAGCTAAAAATTCCTTGGGGATGACTGCACCTCTCATGAGCTCTGGGACTTGTGCAGCCCCCCAACCTGCAGCCCAGGAGAGTGGGCGCTGCCACCCAAACCCTACACCTTTTCCTCCCTGCCAGGACCCGTGGGAGCTGGGGTGGACACCAGCTTCTCCATGGGACTGTGGTCAGTGCCAAGGCTCTGTCAGGACATGGCCGGGGAGAGGGTGAGGAGCTGGCGGCTGATGCTGGCCAGGCCAGGCCAGGCCACTGAGGAGGTCCGTGTCCAGGGGCAGCGGTGGCTGCTGGCTGAGCAGTCAGGCCCAGGGGTCAGGCCGAGCTGCTGGGCAGGGGTAAGGGCAGGGGCGAGGCCCAGCTTTTCTGATGGCTTTGGGGCACCCCAGTTTGGAGGTCATGTACATGAGGCTGTGCTGTCTACTTGAGGCTTTTCTACATGGTTCCTTTGGGGCAGAGGGTGTCGCATAACCAGTCATGGGGCATCTCAGGGCTAGCCAGATGGGCCTCTCTGCTCCTACCTGCCCCGGAGCCCCAGCCCCACAGCAAGCCATACACAGAAGGGGCTCATGGCTGGACAGTTTAGCCCAATGCCACACCCTGCTGGGGATGAGGAGTGGGGCCGGAAGGTCCTGGCGTGTTTGCCTTTGCTGGGCCCAGAGGAGCCAGCTCTGGGAGAGGGCCCAGACCTTGCTGCGGGGGTCACAGCCTCGATCAGAGGAAGCTGCCCCTTCCTGCTGCCCTGCTGGGTGGCTGGGTCCCACATGCAGAGCGCAGGGCCATCCCTCAGCCCTCTGGACCCACCCCTCGGTGCAGAGACCAGCATGAGGTGGGCGGCACAGTCAGTGGAGGCTTCCGGGGCAGAGGAGAGATTTCCCTTCAGGTTTCAGAGCAGAGGCGCAGGGCTGCCCAAGGAGCGTGGGGCTGCCACCCCCCTGTGTGCGTATGGGCGCCACCAGGTCAGAATGGATAGCTGGGGCCTTGTGGGAAAGCAGAGGCTGAGAAGGCACAGCGAGGCTACTCCTGCCTGGGGCCTGGACTCAGGACCAGGTGCTTCTGGGGCGGCAGAGCGTGCCCTGGCGGGCACTCTGGGGACCAGCCCCAGGCTGCCTGTCCCTAGGTCTCACTCCTCTCTTCCTGCCCAGTGCGGATGGGGACTTCGCTGTCACCCACCTGACCAAGGCCCACTTGTTCCACGACGGGCGGGTGCGGTGGACGCCGCCCGCCATCTACAAGAGCTCCTGCAGCATCGACGTCACCTTCTTCCCCTTCGACCAGCAGAACTGCACCATGAAGTTCGGGTCCTGGACGTACGACAAGGCCAAGATCGACCTGGTGAGCATGCACCGCCGCGTGGACCAGCTGGACTTCTGGGAGAGCGGCGAGTGGGTCATCGTGGAGGCCGTGGGCACCTACAACACCAGGAAGTACGAGTGCTGCGCGGAGGTGTACCCCGACATCACCTACGCCTTCGTCATCCGGCGCCTGCCCCTCTTCTACAGCGTCAACCTGCTGGCCCCCTGCCTGCTCGTCTCCGGCCTGGCCGTGCTGGTCTTCTACCTGCCCTCTGAGTGCGGCGAGAAGGTCACGCTGTGCATCTCCGTGCTGCTGGCGCTCACCGTCTTCCTGCTGCTCATCACCGAGATCGTGCCCGCCACCTCCCTGGTCATCCCGCTCATCGGCGAGTACCTGCTCTTCACCATGACCTTCGTCACCCTGTCCATCGTCGTCACCGTCTTCGCGCTCAACGTGCACCACCGCTCCCCGCGCACGCACTCTATGCCCGCCTGGGTGCGCCGCGTCTTCCTGGACGTTGCGCCGCGTCTGCTCCTCATGAAGCGGCCGTCTGTGGTCAAGAACAACTGCCGGCGGCTCCTCGAGTCCATGCACAAGGTGGCCAGCGCCCCACACTTCTGGCCCGACCCCGAGGGGGAGCCCAGCTTCGAGAACAGAGCCCAGAGCCGGGGCCCCTCACCCACCCTGTCCGTCTGTGGTCCCTGCCAAGCGCCAGTCAGGCCCCAGCCGCCCCGCACGTCACCCTCAGGCCAGGAGGCCAAGGAAGCCAGCCCCTGCCCCTCACCCAGCCCCTGCCGCCCACCCACCAGCACCTGGGCCCCAGGGCTCACCAAAACCCGGTCCCTGAGTGTCCAGCATATGTCCAGCCCCAGCAAAACAGCAGAGGGCAGCGTCCGGTGCCGGTCTCAGAGCATCCAGTACTGCGTTCCCCAAGACAAGGCTGCCTCCCGGGCCAACGGCCCCACAGCTGGCTCCCTTCCCTCCCTGAGGGCTTCCTGGGCCGAGCTCCAGGCCTCTCCCCACAAATGCAAGTGCAAGGAGCCATCCACTGGGTCCCTAAATACTGCGTTCAAAGCCTGCAATCACCTGCCCCTGTCGCCCGCCGTGGCGCAGGCTGTCAAGGGTGTCCAGTACATCGCAGATCACCTAAAGGCAGAAGACATAGACTTCTTGGTAAGTCTTTGCCCCAGGCTGCATCCAGAGGTGCCCCGGCCCTTGTGGGACTAGCAGACGCTCAGAAGCAGAAAGTCGCCAGGGAAAAACTCCAGAAACCGGACCCAGACCAGGCTGCCAGCTTTGGGGAACACAGCTGCCGAGCCCCCACTCTGGCCTGCTCTGTCTTCCCTGAGCCTCCCATACTGGCCAGGTCCCTGGGGTGGAGCTGGGGCAGGTGGCCCACAGTGGCTATCCGGAGCAGACCATGGGATCTTCTTTGGGCTTCAGGACATAGGAGCCCATGGGCAGCAGGGAGGGGCCTCCAGCCCCATCGATGCTTGGTTAGTGTCAGCCCAGTCCTCCAGCCGCCCTTCATCCACACTGTGCTCGGCCACCATGGCCTGGTTCTGGTTCCCCATGATTTGACTTCACTGATTGCCTGGACGACCAGGGCGGCTTTGGTCTGCACTGCATTTCATCCTCAGGATGGGGACGTCGCACGGGGGGATGAAAGGCAGTGAGAACAGTGTGGCCTCCGGCAACACAGGGGCCTGGGTGGACTCTATTTATAAGTGGCCCCATCTGTTCTCAGGTCTCCTGTGAATAAACAGGCCGTTTAGGTTTGGTTTGAAACCATCAGGACACCCGATTACTTTAAAAAGTCAGAGTGGAAAATGGCAATGACGAATCGCTCTCCCTCGCGCTCCCAAAATGGACGGTTGAGCCCTGCCCCTCACCCAGGCCTGTCTGACTCAGTAGTGCCCAGCAGGCCTGGGCCTGAGGCTCCTTCCTTTCTGGCCCCTCAGGTGCCAACAGGCTGCCCACCCAGGACCCGCCTTGGCCCTGTCAGGCTTCCTGGGGTCACTCTGGAGGTAGAGGCACCAGGTTGAGGCCAGAGGTGGGGTTAGGAGCTGGGACCTCAGAGTGGCCAGCCGCAGGCTGGGGCCTGCTCCCCTCTCATAGACACTCTGTGCCTCAGAGTCCCCATCTCTAGATGGGACAGTGCCACTACCTTCCTCACAGGTCTTCACTCTGGTGATGTGCTTAGTGTGCTTCTTGCTAGTGCCCATGGCTCACCCTCTGGCCTTCCCCTCAAGCCTGGGCCTCTCCCTCCTCCCTCTGCTCCCAGCACCCAGATATGTGCCCCACACCCTCGGGGAGCTAAGGGACAGAGCTGAGAGACCCCACTGACCCCTAAGGAGCCTTGGGCCACGTGGGTAGCTGGCCCCTAAGCACCTGCCCTGGGGGGGAAGGCAATGGGGCCTCAGCTGTCACTCTCAGACACCATGCACCATGGGGCCCTCGGGGCTCCTGTTAGAAGTCAGGCCCATGTTACCTAGGGTTCTCCTGGCCCTCATCCTGCATCACCAGGGGGTCTGGGAGGCCCCTCTCTGGACTCGCTTGGTCCATCTGGAAAATGGGGGTACACTCGATGGCCTCCAAGGCAACCCCTCAGCTTTAGCAAACTGGGAGCAAATTCCACCAAGAAGCGGCCTAGACCATGGTGTTACTCCAAAGGCCCTCCCGGCCCCTACCCCCTTGGGGCTCAGGCACCCTGCCAGGCAAGTGAAGTTGGGGGACACAGCACCGAACTCCCATCTCCCAGGGCAGCAGCCCTTAGAGGGTGTTGACCCTCTGAGCTCAGACTGCTCCTAAGCCCAACCTCAGCTGGACATGTCACTTCTCTTGGCCCCCCTCCCTACTTGGCACCTCAGTTACAGGTGTGCCTTCACCCCTGGTGACCTCAGCGGTGAGGACAGGAAACAGAAAGCCTGCCACACAAAGCCCCAGCTTCTAGCTGCCTGTGTGACAGGCAAGGGTGTGGCCAGGGGTGACTGGAGTCTGTGTTGCAGGTGAAGGAGGACTGGAAGTACGTGGCCATGGTCATCGACCGGATCTTCCTCTGGGTGTTCGTCATCGTCTGCTTGCTGGGGACAGCCGGCCTCTTCCTGCCACCCTGGCTGGCCGGCATGATCTAGGGGCCCCTGCAGGACATGCAGCCTCTGTGGTCTGTACCTGCTCCCTGAAGGACTGCATGGTATGGGGCCAGTCACCTGCCAGGCTGCTCTCATCTTCTGTCTGCTGCCTCCTGGGGGCCCGTGTGGCTCAGGCGCTGGGCCCTGCCCCAGAGGCAGCCCAGCTAGTAAATGCTTGTTCTTGCCACAGGGTGGTGTTGCTGCCTAAGTCTTACTAAAGTTTATCCAGAGTATGACCACAGGTTGGCTTCCTGCCCCAGATATGTGTCCAACTACTCTCCGCAAATGTCCCAGCAGTGAGAAGTCCCGGGGCCACACCCCTCGGCCCCTCTGAGCCCCAAGTGCCCCTCCTCCTTGGGATCCCGAGGCCACTGCCTGTCTAGTCGTGTGGGGGCACCACCCCCTGGCCCTCAGGCTTCCTCTCTTTGACCCCACAGAGGTGAGTCAGCAAACACGTGAATCTCACTTGCTGGGTGCGCCTAAGCAGGGGTTTTATTTTGTTTTGTTTTTATAAATTAGTGAAAACCCAAGTTTTGTGCCCAGGGAGCTTTGAGGAGTGGAGCTTTTAGAGCTGGTCCCACTTGGAGGAGATTGGGGGGCAGGTCCTCCATGGGAGACAGACCCTTGGGCTTGGGAAGTCCAGACGTTTGCTTTCCAGGGGTCCTGGGGGATCCTAGGCAAGCTCTTCGCAGGGGCCTGCAGGTCCCTGTGGGCACTGGCAATCTGTGAGGGACCTAGAGTATCAGCCAGGACCCAGGCTCTGGGGTCCCCATCTGGGCTCCCCTCACCCCCAACACCTCCTTGTGGGCTCTCCTCTGTGCACAACCCCACAGAGACGTCCTCTGGGTCATACCCATGAGCAGGGGCTTCTCTGATGTAGTCAGTAGCCATGGACCCTGAGGACAGTTCACCCAGAGCCAACTCTGGGACCCTTGGAGCGTGTGGCCCTAGGGTGGGGCCCCTGAGGGGGTGGAGGGGAACCCTCCACAGGCCTCCTACCCTTGGACTGGTCCACTAGGGCCAGCTCAGCCCAAGGGCCTCTGTCACCCCACAATGCAGGGGCCACCAGCCAAAGCTGGTGGGGGGATGCCCGAGAGCAATGGTCCTGGTGACCTAGTATCATCCCCCACAGGGCAGAGTGCTGGGCAGCACCAGCAGTGTCCCCTCCGATCCTGGAAAACATTGCCCTGGGGGTGGTGTGGGGGGTGCTGCCCCCTCCCTCCTTAATTCTTTGGAATTCTCAGTTTCGAAGTTGGGGACAGCCCCACAAGGACACTGAGTGGAGGAAGGAGGCAGCGGGCTGAAGAAGGGAGCTGTTCCTTGTTTCCAGGGTCAAAGTCCCCCTTCTCCAGACCCCAGCGTCCCGGTGTCAGGGCAGCCGTGGGCAGGTTGGATCTGGGTGTCCTGCCTGGCCGCTGCATAGGTCACCAGCTTCTTGGGAGAACTGAGGGACTAATTTGGTGACATTTGGAGCAGAGCATACCAGGCCCCCAGTGAGCCTTGTTGCTGCAGAGGGGGGATTCACTGGTCCCAGGGAATAGCAGTGCCCGTGCAGGAGACTGGGGGCTGCACCCCTCACCTCGGCACCATGAGACGGGCACCCTCACCCAGCTAATGGGAGACGGGGACCTGACTCAGGCCCAGGGGTCCGCATGCCCAGGAGAGGGATGCAGAGACCCATGTCTAAATCCTGGAGTTCTCTCCTCCCCAGCCCCCCAGGCCATGTGGGACCCTGCCTGCCCAGTTTTGCTCTGCACCTGCTTCCTGGGGGTGTCGGGGCATCAGTCCCAGGACACTGGGGCAGTTCTCCAGGGTGGGGGAGTTCACCCAGAACTCTAGGCCCCAGGGCATCAGGGATGCAGATTTCAGATGTAAGCACCTCAATCATCCTTACGTAAGCAGACTCGGCCGCCAGATGCACCAGCATCTGCCAGGAGTGGCCCTGGCGCTGGGCCCGGCCCCAGATGTGCTTTTCTGAGTCGCGAGGGAGACCTGGTACAAAGCTACTGGGACTATAGAAAAATGTCAGGAAATCCGCCACAACAAGTAACCCCAGCCACTATTTGCCTCCAGTGTGTGCAGTGTTTCCTTAGTGTAAGTTTTACATATGACAAAATGTATGATCTAAGGCCTAAATCGATACCAAGGACCTAGGGCACCATTCCACGCGCAGGACACCACCATGGCCGGCCCCAGGCAGCGCCCCTGCCCCCAGCCTGGGTGTCCAGGTCCCCACTCTTAGGACTCGTGCTGAGACATGCTGTGAGGTCTTCCTGGGTGTGCCCTCATCTCTCTGTGTGTTAACCACGTTTTTATTTTCTGTATCTTGTGATATTTTGACATCTTGGGAGACACTGCCCTCCCAGGGCTGGTGGACAGCTGGGCTTCATGTGCAGACTGCCCGTCTAGGGCCATGCCCCACCCCCTCCTCATCTCACGCTCAGGCACCAGGCCAGTGTTTCCCGTCCTGCGTCACCCAGGGCCAGGCAAGGGGGGATAGCCCAGGGCCCCGAGGCCTGCTGGGGCTGTCCTGACCAGCCCCTCCCAAGCTGTGTGCCTGTCCTGTCTGGCCCTCCCCTCATCCCTCTGCCTCCTGACCGGGGCCGGGCCCCCTACCCAGCATGGCACGCCCTCTTCTCTCAGGAAACTGCGTAATAGGTTCTCCTCTCAACAGCACTGGCCCTTCATGGCGTCCCTTGGTCACCTTTAAGTTATGATGGGCACCGAGCACTCCCAGGTACACACTTGTGTGGGGTCACTAGGTCACGGGGTGGACACTCCCACACCCGAGAAGCATCTCCAGTGAGGGTCAGCTGGAACAGTGTGCTCACTATTCTTTCATTTTGTTAACCCTCAGCCATTGAATTTTAGAGTGGAAGAGGGGAGAGGGGGAGAGAGAGAGAGAGAAGCATCGATGTGAGAGAAACACATCCATTGGTTGCCTCCTGGACGCACCCCAACCAGGGCCCGGGATTGAGCTCGCAGCCCAGGTACGTGCCCTTGACCAGTGCTCAAGACCCTCCAGTGCTCAGGCCGACCCTCACCACCGAGCCGCACTGGCCAGGGCAGTCTGCTCCTTCGCTGGTTGGGTCGCCTTTCAGTGCGCTGTAAGTCACCTGCAGGTATGAGGTCCAAGGCCTTGGCCCCACCTAGTGGGAGACCCCTCCCTATGCGTGACGGTTCATGTCTGTGTCTTTTGAAGAAAAACTCATTCTGATGAGAGGTAATGTCTTATTGTTTTCTTTTTATGGTTGTTGCTTTATGGGTCCTGTTTGAGAGATCCTGCCTGTCCTGGGCTTGCAGATACACCCCCTACACTTCCTTCGAGAACGTTTACACCTTTCACGTGTCTTTAGGTTTACCATGTTTTTCGAATTAAGTTTTGTGTGTGGTGTAGACAGGGACAGGGCACCAATGTCTCCGATTTGAACCTCAAGCTGCTTCGCACCATTTGTTGAAAACACCGTCCCTTCCCCAGTAAAATGCCTAGAAACAGCAGCCCCCGGATCTCCTGGCTTTCTGGCTGTTTTTGCCGCGGGTTTACTCTGTCTGGGCCTGGAGCAGGAAGCCGCGTCCTCTCTTTTGATGCACTTGGAGAGCTCACCTCCTGGTGACTCAGATGTGCTCCTGAAATTTCTGCAGCTTCAGGAGCTGCTCCGCCGGCCCCTGGTCCCTGGTTCCACAGGCCCCGCCCTTGCCAGGAAAACACCCGAGCTGGTCAGCGGTCTGGAAGGTCAGGGTTTCATTTCTTCCTTCTGGCAGCTGCTCCTAACTCAAGGCCAATGTTTATGTTTTTCAAGAGCTTAATGAGTTGATATGAAGACTATTCCCCCAATTCCTCCCACTCCCAAACAGAACTAGCGCCCCGTTGCTCCACAGTCCTGCCACTCGCACCAGCCCTGGTGGAACAATCTAGAATTTTAGGTTGCTGCAGGCGTGATTGTCTGGGGAGGGCTTGGTTCTTCAGCCAGTAGCCCCCTGCCCTTCCTGTATGTGCGGTCGTGTCTGCCACTGTCCTTTCTGCAGAATGTGCCTCAGTTCCCACAGAGCGTCTGATGCAGCTCCTCGGACTCAGGGCCTCATTCATTCCGTGAGGACTCGACAGGATATAAAGTCTGAGTATTTTTCCTCCAACACGTGGAGGTCATTATCCTCCGGGTTCTGCCGTGGAGCGGCTCTTATTCTGTGGATGTTTAAAGATTGTTTCCTCTGTGTTCATCATGTTTTGTGTGAATGAACCTATATTTAAAAAATCGACCCCGTCTGGCACTCTGGGCCTTTCAATCTGAGATCATTAACTTCCTCTAATTCCCAGATCTTAAAAAACACTTCTTTCAACATTCCCCACCTCGCTTACTCCAACCTGCCTGGTGGAGCTGTGGTGTGGGTGCCACACGTGTGACCCTACCTCACCCTCTATCGTCTGGCGACCCCTGCCTGACCTTATGCTCAGTTTTCAGCTGTGTCCGGGTTACTCGGCCCATCCTGTTGGTTTATTCTCTTGATGGTGCCAGTGCCGTATTTCCAGTGGCTGTTCCTATGCCTTCACGTCATTAATGCCCACCCTTCAATCCTCGAAGGCACTCTGGTTTTCACTGAATGGGCCGTGGAGAACGTGCCCTTCTGCCTGGTCTGCCCTGCTCAGCTTTGCTCTCAGGTGTCACACTTTCCCGTTAATTCATCTCCCACAGCTGGACGGGCGCTGTGCGCGTGGATGTGGATGCGCGTGTGCACGTGTACGTGAAGGTGTGTGCAGAGATTTGGGCTGTGGCAGCTTTGTGTGAATGACTGTGCAATCAGCCCACAGCGCAGGTCAAATGGTCGAGGGCCAGCAGCAGACTCATGTCCTTCTCTAGCCCAGGCTAGAGGCGAGCTGGCCCCAGCTGGGGATGCTGTGGACAGGGTGGGTGGCAGAAGTCCAGTGCCCTCTCCAGCATCATTCCCACTTGCTGGCCTCCTTGACCAAACACCCCACTGGCCCTGCCAACTTCTCACCTTGCTCTTTCTGGCAGCATCCCGGCAGGTGGCCTCTGCACCCTCCAGCCTCTGAGACGAGCCTGAGACTCGGTCCTAGGACAAGCCAGGCCACCTTCACCCCCAGGGAACCCAGCCCCGTGGCTTCTACTCACTTCCAAAATGGTGGGGCCCACACTTCTGCCCTCATGAATGCCAGACTCACAACCCACTCACCTGCTCCGCTTCACCACTTAGCTACCGGCGGCACCTGGAACCTGCTCTCCAGCTCAGGGCCTGCCCCCAGACCCCACCAGTGGCTCAGCCAGCAGCCTGCCTCCCCGTGCAGTCCAGCCACCTCCATCTCAGTGAACAACAGGTGAGGTCCCACCCGCCTGGCTCCCTGAGCGCTTATCTTCAGGCGGCCATGTCAGTTCCTGCTCAGAACCCCTGCGGCTTCCAGTCACTCTTAGGACAGTATCCAGACCCTCCCACAGTGCTGACCCCTCCTGGCCCTGTGCTCAGCCTTCCTGCCGAGCCAGGGTCCTCCCGGCCAGGTCCAACCTCAGGCCTCTCGAGGGCTGGGCAGAAGGTGGAACCTCCTGCCACCTTCACTTCTCACATTGTTCCTGCCTCTGGTCCACTGTCTCCCTGGAAGCCCTGCTGGCCACTGTATATGAAGGAGCCCCCACCCCAAGTTCCTCCTGATGTTTAGAAAACTACTTGGAGTTGAATCTGCCAGAGGAGCCCACAGCTGGTGAGGTTTCCAGGTTAGCAAGTGTAGACAGGACATCCAAGGGGAGGCTGCCGGATGGGAGGCAGGGGCTGAGACCACCCAGACGCCGAGTCCCAGGCTGGGCCCTGTGGCCACATTGGCCTCTGAGGGTGGGCTGGACACCATTCTTAAGCCCTCTCCCACCCAGGTGACTCAGCGTGTGGCTTAGACTGAGGACTCCTGGCCTAGGCAGGGACGGAGCTTTGCAGGGCTCAGGATGGGGCTGAGGTGGCCTTGAGGGAAGGAGGGGCGAGACCCAAGGCAACAGGGAGACTGTGAGGTTGGAGGGGGGTCCTTGGGGTGATTCCTCTCTGAGACAAGTGGGGAATCTCACTCCACTGGACAGGGACGCATGTGTCCCTCCCGTAATGAGCAGTCACCTCCCTTGCGTGCTCTGGGTTTATGTGACTCTGGGAATGGTACAAAGGTGAAGTACAGCCATCCTCTTGGCCACCCCATCCATCTCCGGTTCCTCCCCAGACTCCAGGCTTCTCTAGCTTCATGTCTGAGACTCCAGAGTGGAGGTGCAGGTCACTAGAGGCAGCACAGGGAACGTCCTGGCCAGAGAGAAGATGGGCAGGTCTGGGGACACAATGGACAGCTGACACCCAGTCAGCCCGCTCAGCCCCCACTGTCTGGCAAGTCCAGCTGGGCCGTGAGCAGAGATGCTGTGAGCCCTCTGCAGGACCCTGCCCCTCAGGCACTGCTCCATGCCCGCTTGGCCCAGGCGTCCTCCCTGGTGCACACCTGCTCCACCCTCCTGGCCAGGGCCTCCCTCGGCTCCCACATCCACAGCCCTGCTGGGCTCCCCTGAGGCCCCCATGCACCTCCGCTGCCTCCTCCCCCCGGGCCAGGCTCACCTGCTCCTCCGGGGGATCCTGGAACCTTGCTGCCCTGTGGCTGGGGGCTGCCTGTCTGGGTGAGAGCTCCAGGCTCACCTGAAGAACAGGGGTGCTAGGACTGAGGGCAGCAGGTAGCAACACTCCTTTCTCGGGGCTCTGCTCTGACCGAGGGGAAGCTGAGCGCCTGTGCCCCTCCTCCTCAGGCAGAGGCTGAAGGCTCAGGGCCCCAAACAGGCACTGACTGTGGCTGGGTGGCCGAGGGTTAGGGTGAGGTGGGGCTGGATGTGGGAGGTGCAGGGTGGGGTCTTCATGACATGCCCACCAGCCTTGTCCAGACAGGCTGAGTGCAGAGAGGGGTTCTGATCCCAAAGGCAACGTCTGGGCCATGGTGGGCAGGGGCTTCCCGCAGGCAGGGCCCCCTCCCTGCCCTCCACACCCCCACACCCCGCCCACAGTGCAGTGCTGTCCTCCCCCCACCCAGCCTCCTTTCCCCCCATGGAGGCTGCAAGCTCTGTCTCCCTCAATCAGTCAGCATCTGAGCCGTGACAGGCTTCCAGCCCGTCAGATGGACAAGGTCACCGGACCAAGTCTCCTGTGCATTTGAGGCGAGGAGGTGGGAGGAGGTGGGAGGAGGCTGTGGGAGAGACTGGAGAGAGGGGAAGGAAGGGCAGCGGTGGCCCTGAGCTCAGACTCCCTGGGATTTGGGGGAGGGGCCGCTTTGAGGACCCTAGGAAGCCAGGCAGCCACCAGTTCTGCTGACCCACCTCTGAGGCGCCCTGTGTCCCCACCCAGCCACACAGAGACAAGCCCAGGGACAGTGTGTGGGGAGAGTGGTCTCTCCAGACCCCTCCCCAGGGGGTCTGGCCCGTACCTCTGTCCTCAGCGTGGGGACCACCATGTCCCCCTTCTCCAGGGAGCCGGGCCTCACTGCGTGTGACCGGGGGCCCAGGGGCCTCCAAGATGGGCATGGGAGGCCTGGTGCTCTCATGGAGGAAGGAGTCGAACTTTAGCATGTGCGCTGGGAATGGGGAGCAAATCAGCAGGGGGTGGGGGCAGGGAAGAGCCCCTTGCCCCCCCAGGACTCCACGGTACGTGACAGGGAGAATGGCCAAGCAAGGCTGGGTTTGCTAAGATTGGGTGCGGGCTCTGTCCAGCTTGGCCGGTGTGGGGACAGTGACACATGGGGCACTGGAGGCTTAGGGTCCTCGATGAGGCTGGGCCACTCACTCTGGATGGCGGACTCACAGGCCTGGGTCACAAACTGGTGGATGGTGGCCCAGGACTGTGGCTCTCCCTGTGAGGAAGATAGGCCACAGAGTGTGGCCAGGCTGCTGGGTCCCATGCCCCCAAGGAAGTGCCCTGGCCCCCCACACTGACACACTCACCTTCTCTCCTCGCTCCCCCTTGGGCCCCGGCAGCCCCTGAGCCGAGGAAAAGGAGAGAAGTAAGCCCGGGGCAGGGAGAGGACCTAGACTGCCCTCTCCCCTCACCCTCCTGACTCCCGTGGCCCTCACCCCGCAGCCTGGGGCTCTGTCCATCTGGAGGGAGACAAGGCATTCGGCCCCCACAGGGTGGGCACAATTTTTGATACTTGGAGGGTTGGAGGCAAGAGTCCCAAAGGGCAAAGGGCCCACCTGTCAGATGGGGACAGTCCTGCAGCAGGAACACCACACCCAAGGAGAATAGACACCTCCCCA